TATTGCATTGATGCTACTTTGTTTTTTGTTAATATTGGGAGGAATTTGTTTTGCAATTTTATTATATGATTACGTTATTTTTGGAATCTCAAGTCTATAATTTAATTATTTGTATCTTTTGTTTTAAATTATGAGACTTTAAAGTAAGTGTGTTTGCCACACAGAATTGATATGGATTAGTATATTTTTCTTCATTAATTGTTTATAAAGCGTTTTCAAATGCAGTTTTCAGTTTTCATTACATTAACTGTTTATGAAATTTTATAAACCTATTGCATTGCACTGGTGCTTTTCTAATTACCTTAAATTTTTTCATCTAAAACAAACTTAATTAATTCTCCAACCCTAGAATTAGTCTTGACAACAGTTGTTAAAGGAACTAATAGTGCAAAATAAACAAAAAAAAAAGGTAAAATTTGTGAAATTCTCAATTAGAAAATGTTAAATATGTTATGAAATAAATTATCAAAGAATTACTACAAGAGAAAGTATTTAAAGGGAGAAAGAAGATGTTATTGAAGTGCGTATTTATAAATGAAGTAAGGGACCCATTTATAGGCAATAACCTTTTATTTCGATAAAATTTACAAGATGGAAATAATACTAATGGATTAGATGGATTAAATTCTAATGTTAATTCAATTTAATTTATATCCAAATCTAGATATGGGTAATATATATGAATATTCACAAAAATATGCATAACATTTCATCTTGAATATCCATTGTATTAAGAATATGCTTCGTCAAAATCATACAAGAAAAAAACCTCATGGAAAAAAATCCGAATGAAGAAAAAAAAGTACATAATTCTTTTTAAAACTATACTTTTGAAATACTACCTTATTAAAAACCTTATAAAAAAAAACTAGTGAGAAAACTTTTGATTAAGGAAAAGAGCACAGTACATATTTTATTCCCATGATGATTGCATTATAGAGATCTTTAAAATAATGCATTTTAATATTTTGTAACAACTTTTCAAATGTTGCAATAAGAATGACTTTGGTGAACAAATCTACTAGATTTTCACTTGATTGAATTTGTTAAACACTAATATCACACTTTTCTTGAAAATCATGAATGAAGAAAAATTTTGACAAAATATGTTTTATCCTATAGCCTTTAACGTATCTTTTCTTTAACTGTATTATACAGGGCTGAATGTCTCATTATAATCAAATCCTTCTTTTTGAGTGAAACCCTTAGCAACCAATCTAGCTTTATACCTTTCAACAATGCCATCAGCATGCAATTTCACTTTGTAAACCCATCTACAACCAATAGGTTGAAAACCAGAAGGATAGACATGACTGTCCATGTATCATTTTCCTTTAAGGCCTTTAACTCTGTGTTCATGGCATCTTTCCACTCAGAAAATTGAATAGCTTGATGATATGAGGTAGGTTCTGGAATGCGTGATAATGCTGTGGTAAATGTTTTATGAGCAGTGAAGAGTTTTGTTGTGGCAAGACATTTCTCTATAGGATGTGCTGTAGTGGTTTTAAGAGATGCAAAGTTACTAGAAAAAGGATGTTAATAAGCTTCAAGGTATTTGGGAAGTTTCCTTAGTCTAGTACTTTGCCTGAGAGGTTGTGTAGGAGAAGAATCAGTGGTGCAAACAGTGTTTTCTGCATCAGGGGTATAGTGGTTTTTTTGAAAAAAATCTCTATAATCAACAGAATCAGATGGTAAGTTATCATCAGCAGTTAAGTTATGAGTATGGGGTAGATCCAAATTTGAATCATGTATAGGTAAAGTGCAATCTATAAAGTTTGATGCATCATTATGACTTACAAGGTCATTATGCAATCTTGAGAAATTTTAAGTTGGAAAGGAAACATAAGAATGATCTGGTGATGAGCATGTGGTAATGTTTAAAATGGAATCTGTAGCATGATGCAAAGTACTAAATGGAAATATACTTTCATGAAACACTACATCCCTAGATATAAAACACTGATGAGTAACTAGATCATATAGCCAATATCCCTTCACTCTCAGTGGATATCCTAAAAAAATACATTTTCTTGCTCTAGGTTGAAATTTTCTACTGTCTCTAGAAAGAGTTGAAGCAAAACATAAGCATCCAAAGACTCTAAGATAAGAATAAGAAGGGGTTTTGTCATACAACATTTCATAGGGAGATTTATTGTTAAGAACAACTGTAGGTAGTCTGTTAATCAAATGAGTTGCTGCTAGGACAACATGTCCCCAAAATTTTGTACGGAGAGATGATTGAAACAGTAATGATCTAGCCACCACAATTAAATTTTGATGCTTTCTCTCAACAACACCATTTTGTTGAAGTGTTTCTACACAAGACAAACTTTGTAATATTCCATTTGAAGCATAAAACTCAGAGAGATCAAACTTTGTCCCATTGTCTGATCTTAACTCCTTAATAATACTGTTAAACTGCTTCTTAACCATTTTAAAGAAAAAAGATATGATTAATATAACATCAGATTTAAATCTCATAAGGAAAACTCAAGTAAACCTTGTGAAATCGTCAACAATGGTAAGGAAGAATTGCTATCCATGTATTGAATTAACAAAGTAAGGTCCCCAAATATCAATGTGTATTGAATCAAAAGGAGCTTTAGAAGATTTCACATGAATCGGAAAAGGTAAACGTTTCTGCTTAGCTAAAAGACAAACATAACAAACTGAACTTTCTTTAGTAGAGATGTTTGGACAAACTTGTTTAATTTGTTTCATTCTATCTTCTGAAATGTGCCCTAACCTATAGTGCCAAAGTTTAAATCCTAACGGCACACTATTACAAACAAGTATTGTGACACTTGTAGAAGTAGAGATTGATCCTTGAGATCTTTTTCCAAGTAGCTTGTATTGCATCAAGTACAGGCCTGCCTTCACTTCAGCAACATCAATCATTGTCCATGAAGGTATCTCCTGTATGATGCAATGTTTATCAGTGAAAATCAAACAATGATTCCTAGATTTAGATAATTGACTCACTGAAATTAAATTAAACTTAAAAGATGGTACAAATAAAACATTGTCTAACTGCAAGGTAAGAAAGATTTGAACTATCCTTATATGTGTAACTAGCGCTTTGGCATTGTTGGGCAGCTCTACAAACACTCCTTGAATTGATTTAAAAGTGGTGAAATAATGTAGAGAACATGCTATATGATCAGTTGCCCCCGTGTCCACAATCCAAGAATTATGATTAAATATGAAAGCATTATTGATGTTATGTGATGCAGAAAAACAGTTATGATTTTGAAAGAATTGAGTTTTTAAGATTATACCACAAACTTTTGAGTTGAAAATGGAAGGTTGTGGTGAACTAGCAACAGAATGACTCTTCTGATGATGATGAGCTCTTATCTGATTTTGTGAATTATAGCCTTTGAAAGTTGAGTTCACTATTGCATGGTTTACTGGGTTTGCTGGTGTATCATCAGTGCTACCCAAAGAGTGTTCATTGAGAAGAACCAGGAGCCTTTGAAATTGTCCTTTGGTCAGAGAGTAATTAGATACAGGATTGTCTTTCTGTTCCTTTTGATGTTCAACTTGTGGCTGATTAGCTGAGTTGGTGAGTGTTGACATAGTTTTTCTAATATTGTTTCCTTTCCCTTTTGTGAACTTAAAAGTCAGGAGGAAAACCGATGATACGGTAGCATTTATCTTTGACATGCCCATTCTTGCCACAATGTGAACATGTGACATCATTCTTAAGCCTTTTCTTACTCTCTATCACTGCTGCCATAGTAGTTGTCTCCAACAGAGCTTGATTTTGTGCCAATATTGACCTTTGGGACTCTTCTCTAAAGACTAAGTTGTAGGCTTCATCTAAGCTTGAGAAAGGTTTTATCATGATAATATGAGACATAAGAGCTGAAAAGTTGTCATTAAGTCCATTAAGGAATCTAAATACCCTATCCTTCTCCCACAACTCAATATACCTTTTAAAGCAGGATTGTGTGCACTTCCCACATTCACAATGGGGTAAGGGACGATAGTTCCTCAATTCTTCCCAAATTCCATTTAACTCAGTAAAATATGAGTTAACAGAACGCGTACCTTGTGTGATGTTACACAAGGAAAATTGAGATTACATATCCTGGTATCATCTGGTTGAGAGAATCGGTTCTTAAGGGTCTGCCATATCTCTGCTGCAGAATTCATATAGAAAACATTAGTGGCTATTGGCTCAGAAATAGACTCAAGCAACCGCGCTACAATGAGATTGTTGCAACGGGTCCATGAAGAATATAACTCATCTGTTGAGCTGGGCTGTTTAATGGAACCATCAATGAACCTTGTCTTGTTGCGGATGGAGAGAGCTAGTAGAAAAAAGTGACTCCATGAACAATAGTTGCTTGAAGTCAGCTTGGGGTTGATGACAATAGACCCATGGTGATCCGTATGGTGGAGAAAGTATGGAGACCTTGGATCTTCGATCGGTGACAATAAGGATTTTGAAAGAGAGGTTGATAATGTAGGGCTTGATTGTGAGGTTGTCATATTTTTGAGATGGAGATAGCAGATTAATTTTTCAGATTATGCTATGAAGAATTTCAATGGTTAAACCCTAACCAAACCTACTTTGATACCATGCAAGCAGCTGGAGAATATTCAGAAAATGAAAATGGAATAAAATGAGCTGTTTCTTTTTCATTTAATGTTCTATCTGCAGTACAGGGGTTTACATACATGGGTTTGAAGGCTAAATGAAAACCTAACATTTGCTGTTATAGACTCTGTTACTAATGCCAAAAGGACCTAACAGAAAACTTTTAAACATTTATTTGCATCCTATTAAGCTGCTAGAAAATCATAGCATCACATGACAGCAGAGCTGATATATCTCTAATCCTGTTCTGACATCCTTTGTTGTACTTTGTAACTGAATAATCTACTTGATTAGAAATCATTTTTAAGAACTACTAGCAGAACCTTTGTTTGCTTTGTTTTACCTTTAAAAGTCCTATTATAATCGAGGAATCCTCATGAAGATAAGATATTGCCTAATCATATGCTAACCTTACTTATCTTTTAAGTCTCATTTTTTACTTATACCAAAAAAAATATTTCATGCATGTAATATCACTATAATTATATAGTTACCCTAGTAGTGAATCTTGAAAGATATGGGTCCAATGGTATAGTGTTTGGAGAATTGCATAGATGGTCACTGAAGGGTTGAGTAGATTTTGATTATCATTTGTTACAACTTCATATTTCTAACTCAATAGATATATTTATAAGGTGAAAGGAGAATTTACTTGCAAGTTCAAAATCTCTTTTGATGTGGGATACATGACACACACACACGTGTGTATATATTTATATATATATATATATGTATCATTAAACATATATTTATGTATGTATATGTATATAAACATCTACATTTATACACAAAGATAAGTACATGTATAAATCCTAGGTGAGAAAATGGACTTTCGAGGACTATCCGAGATCTGGAAACTGTTTTGCCTACAGATTGGTCAAGGAAAGCTTTGGTAGGGTTTCTGACTTTCTTATGATACGTCAATGGGCTTTATGGTTAGGTCCTCTGTCTTCTGAAATGGTCCTGTGTTGGTTCTTTGTTCTATGCCTTCCCCTGTTTTCCGAGCTTCCTCTGAAAATTTATCTGTTGGCAGTTTATTGAAACCATTGGCTTGCTTTGTCTTCCAGCTTGGTAAGCTTCAGCTGTGCTTTGCTTTTTGGATTCGGGGTTGGTCTTCTGTTGTTTACATTGCTCGAAAGAGTTGGGAAGTGTAAGGCACGATAAGGAGGGCCTTTAGACTAATGATCTTTCTAATTAGGGATGAGGTTCATTAAAGCGCTTGTTGAATTTCTGGGTGCGTCTTTTGTTTGCCCCGGGTGTTTGAGTGGTGCTTTGATGGACGGACTTTATTTGTTTTTAACCATGCGGTGTCTCTGTACAGAATATATTTTAGTAACTAGTCCAATCAAATAAATAAGAAATTTAAAAATTGACATTTAACGATTTTTAGTAATATTAATATCATATGTTCCAATAATGAAACCTAAAAATTGCCAACAAATTTAATTGATTGTCACATATTCATTTAACAAAAAATAAGTCAATATTAAATAAAATTATTGACATGTAATAAATGGATATATATGTGACAATCAGTTAGACAATTTTATACAATTTCAATGTTTCATAGCCGATGTATGAAAAAATAATTATCATATATATATGTATAGTCTCAAATCTTTTTGTGGTTCCCAAGCCATAATTTGATTCCATACTTCCATCACTAATTTTATGAAAGTCTAAAATGCTGGTATTATTGAATTACAGCTTTACTTCACTAAAATGTTCTAAAATGGAAAATATAAAAGTGTTTGACGATTTGATAATTGAACTACTCATAACAAAAAATATAATTAAATGTTATAAATTTGTTATGTATTATATCAAATACTATTTGTGAATAATCAAATAAACAAAAAAAAGGAACAAAAATAGCTCTACGTATTTGTCCTTGAATAAGGAGAAGAGTACTTAAGTTGACTGGATGTGATTCACGGATGGTATCCATCAGGTGATCAAGTCTAAGAATTGCAGATGACTGATGGCTCGTGAAACAACTGGTGGTCCAGGCAACGGTGGTTGTATATTTCATGAAGAAACATCAAATCATAAGTCACAACATAGAATGTAAATACCAAACATCATTCTTATATTATTAATTAAGACTCTGACTATTAGCTTTTTCCACTTTGCACAAGTAGGAATATTGCCCTCATCTCATCATTATTGGTTTATTTAGAACGCTACTTTAGAGGCTAGATCTACACAATCTTATGCTGCCAATACATAATATAATTAAGCAAGGTTTTTAACACCGAGGGTATGTCACGCTGCAAGTGCTAGCAACCCTACGGGCGTTGGGATTGTTAGCAAACTGCTTGAGATTGGGGCTCTGAAGGTACCCGCAAAGGCATGGCTTCTGCTCCCTCAGCTTGCTGCAACAACTGGTTGAAGGAGGCGACGACGACGTGATCGCCGGCAAGCATGAGGTGAGCTCCGAGGGGCTGCAATTCACTGCCTCCGCCGTGCGTGTTTCACCTGAAATCAGCACCACCACCAGTGCCACCACACACAAGGCAACAACCGAAACCACCTTCATTTTCTCCCACCAAAGTGCTGATACTCGTTAAAACACAACAAAGAAAGCTAATGGTGTTTGGGGCATTTTGCGAAAGAGCTTCGGCCCAATTTATAGAGGAGGGAATTGGCAACTACTGAAACTTTAGCGCATGATTTACGGGTGTCCGTGGCTCAAGCTTTCCTGGTTTAAAGATCCCTTGTGGAATTGAAGAAACGTGGACCCCTCCATTTACAAATCCTGAAGTTGATGAACATTTGTTAAAATGATGCCACGTGTATTATTTATTGTACAAGAGACCAGCATCGTTCACCAGAAATCAAAAATATAAATAATGATATTGTATTGTGTGCAAATAATATAAAATTAAAAGATAAAGATTTTATGTGTATTGATTTGGATAGTCTGACTAAGTAATATACTTTTTCAGGCTCTACAACATTTTATCTTTAAACTATATCGTATAGCAAAAAAGAATACATAGGTATATAGTACAATAAACTATGCTTCAAGCCAATATATATAATGCAGCTCTACTATAAAGGCACAAAACATGGCTTATAAATAGAAAATTTCTGCATATTTCAAATCAAATTAGAAATGTTTTACTTATGTGAAATTTTTACATACGAATAAAAAGACATTGAAAAAAAAAAGAAAGGAAATAAATTAATGTGGTGTCTCCAGATAGGCTAAAGGGATGACGGATACCAAGAAAGCATTAAATAAGTTGAATTACGACGTATCAAAGTATCGTTGGGAAGTGGCATAATTGCAGATGGTGATGGTCCATATTGCATTATTTGTTTGGCTTTACTCTGGACATCCATATTGCATTTATATGCTTTACTTGCCAACCACCAGCTTAAATGCAAAGTACATAGTATGTTTTAGAGCCTCCTGAAAAGTTTTTTTTAGAAAGAGGAATTTGAATTATATTTTTTAAATAGTGAGATTAAGTACCAATCAATGAGTTAAATACTTTCAAAAATTTTAAACATGATCCAACTGCAACATTAACTTCAAAATTTTTTTGACAAATAAGAAGCATTAAGTGATACAAGTATAAAATTAAAATAATTAAAAAAAAACTATAATGAGCAAGATCATCCTCATGTAATAGTTATTCGGAAATTGAAAAACTTTTTATCAATTTTATGAAAATAATGTTGAAACTTTCATATAATGTACCATACCTTTGCTTTGATTTTATTTATTTTGAGTAAATAAGTAGGTGGAGGGTGAGAAGAGTAGAAATAACTCTTCCCAACCTTATTTAGGAGTAAAGGGGAGAATTAAGGGAGTGAAGAGGAAGAGTAGATTAGCAATCAGTTTATTTGTAATTAGCCTTATGTCCATGTTTCCATTTGGATAAAGTTATGCCTCTTTAGTGAAAAAAAGAAAAGAAAGAAAAAGAAAAACCCCAAATAAGGTTGAGAAAGGTGAACTCGCTCTTGCTTCTTATAGGCCTTTGTGCCAAAAAAAAGTTTAACACAAGTTTGGGATTCTTTCTATAATTCTTTTATTTTTTTTCTCACACACGTGTCATTATCATTTATTATGTGTAGGATTCAATTATTGATTGTGGATCTCACATATATACCTAACTAGAGCTAAAAGATGCATTGAATAATAATGAAAAGAACTACAATATTTATTCAATGATAGGTGCAATAATCTTTCTGTTTAAAAAAAATTAAATTCCAATTCTTTTTGCTACAGAATCTAACATCGTTGAAAACATCGACTCTTTATCAAAGATGTTCTTGATAGAGCCTCATGTCCAAATGCTAGATAATGATGTCCTAGAAATACATGACCCAGAATCGATGGATACTGATCCATTGCCAAACCAGCAACAACATCACCATCATCATTATACATCCTTGAGATTCTCAAGATATTTCTCCCTTAAAGATATCCCTATGAATAAATGGAACTTGCGTTTTCAGGAATTCCATGCATGGCCAAGCATAACTGTTCAAATATCATTATAAATTTTAAAGTTTGCTTGGGTTTAGTGGGTTTGCTTGTTGGGCTCGTGCGATCAATCATGACTCTTAGATTTAGGCCGTGACAAATCTATTTGAAATGATACTTGAGATATTAGTTTTTGGATTTGATAATTGTTTCGTCTTTAGATTTGGATTTGATATTTGTTTCAACTTTGATATTTGGATTTGATTTTTATTTCAATCTTGGTGTTTGAATTTGTAAGTTGTTTCAATTTTGGCATTTGGATTTGGTATTAGTTTCAACCTTGGACTTTGGATTGGATATTTGCTTCTACTTTGGTGTTTGGACTTGGTTTATTTGATTTAGTACGAATTATATTATTTTTAAAATCTATTAGTTTTCCAAGGGTTTTCTAAATGTAATAAAATTGTTTTTTTTTTGGACTAAACTTTTGTATTTTTCATCATTTACTTCAAAAGCTTTTAAACCCAATACTTAATATTTGTTCTCTTGGTAATACTAGAACATTTTACACATTACTCTTTTATTTCAAAGGCTTATGAATGGGTTTTCAAACAAAATTTCATAAAAACATTTTAGACAAATTTGT